CACCCAGTGGAGGTGGTTCCGCTACCCAAATAACCCTACGCCTCCCCTCCAGGACCATTTATGGGAATTGGCCTAATCGCTCAAAGGCCGATCCAGCGGGTGTGGAGGGGTGCGATTGCAACCAAACCCTCTCTATCCTACTACCTCTCACCCACCGAGCATCCTGACACCTTTCGATCGCCCATTGGCCCGATGGCCCGGGTTGATGGGAAATGGTGATTTTGTAAAAGCACATTTTCCCACCATCGGCCTTCTCCGTTGGCCCTTGGCGTCTCCGTCTTATCCGGGTACTTATAAGGGACCTCTACTCACCTTGTGGAGGTGGTTCCGCCGCCCGAATACCCCTGTGCTCCGGCCGATCCGGCGGGTGCGGAGGGGTGCGATTGCCACGAAACCCACTCTGCCCTACTGCCACTCACCCATCGAGCATCATGAAACCTTCCGATCGCCCATCGACCCGATGGACCAGGCCAACGGTGGGAAACGATGTTTCTACAAAAGCACCTTTTCCCACCATTGGCCTTCCCCGTTGCCACGGGGCATGTCTGCCTTATCTGGTCACTTATAGGGGACCTCTCCCTACCCCATGGACGTAGTTCTGCCGCCCAAATACCCCCGCACACCCCCTTCGGGACCGTTTCTAGGAATTGGCCAAATCGCCTGGATGTCGATCCGGAGGGTGTGGAGGGGTGTGATTTCCACAAACCCACTCTGCCTTACTGCCACTCACCCACCAAGCATCCTAAAACCTACCGATCGCCCATCGACCCGATGGCCTGAGCCGACGGTGGGAAACGATGATTATGCAAAAACACTATTTCCCACCATCGGCATTCCTCGTCTGCCTAGAGTATCTTCTCCTCATCTGGGTACTTGTAGGGGACCTCTCCCCATGGGTAGTTTCGCTGCCCAAATACCCCCACGCCCACCCTTCAGGACCTTTTCTAGGAATTAGTCGTATTGCCGGAGGCCGAGTCGGCTGGTGCATAGGGGTGCAACTGCCACCAAACCCTCTCTCCTATACAGCCTGCCACCCACCGAACATCCTGACACATTCCGATCGCCCATCGGCCCGATGGGCCGGGTCGACGATGGAAAACGGTGGTTCTCCAAAAGCACCTTTTCCCACCGTCGAACTTCCCCGTTGGCCCAAGGCATCTCTGCCTCATTTGGGTACTTATAAGGGACCTCTCCCCACCCCGTTGCCATTCAACCACCAAGCATCCTATCACCTTCCAATCGCCCATTGGCCCAATGGCACAGGCCAACGGTGGGAAATGGTGGTGGTTCCGCCGCTCGACTACCCCCGCACCCCCCACTCCTAGACCTTTTTTGGGAATTGGTAGAATCACCCGAATGCCAATCCGATGGGTGCAGAGGGGTGAGATTGCCACCAAACCCACTCTGCCCAACTGCCACTCACCCATCGAGCATCCTGACACCTTCTGATTGCCCATCGGACCAAAGGCCTGAAAGCACCGTTTCCCACCGTCGGCCTTCCTCATTGGCCCACAGCATCTCCTCCTCATTTGGTACTTATAGGGGACCTCTCCCCACCCAGTGGAGGTGGTTCCGATACCCGAATAACCCTACGCCCCCCCCCTCCGGGACCGTTTATGGGAATTGGCCGAATCACTTGGAGGCCGATCCAGCAGGTGCGGAGGGGTGCGATTGCAACCAAACTCTCTCTGCCCTACTACCTCTCACCCACCGGGCATCTTGACACCTTCCAATCGCCCATTGGCCCAATGGCCCGGGTTGACAATGGGAAACGATGGTTTTGCAACAGCACCTTTTCCCACCATCGGCCTTCCCCGTTGGTCCTTGGTGTCTCCGTCTCATTTGGGTACTTCTAGGGGACGTCTTCACACCCCGTAGAGGTGTTCCACCGCCCGAATACCCCTGTGCTCCCCCTCCGGGACTATTTCTGGGAATTGACCGAATCGCCTGGAGGCCGATTTGGCAAGTGCAAAAGGGTGCAATTTCCACCAAACCCACTCTACCCTACTGCCACTCACCCACCGAGCATCCTGAAACCTTCTGATCTCCCATTGACCCGATGGCCCGGGCCAACGATGGGAAACGGTATTTCTGCAAAAGCACCTTTGTCGGCCTTCCCCATTGGTACAAGACGTGACTGCCTCATTTGGATACTTATAGGGGACCTCTCCCTACCCCGTGGATGTGGTTCTTCCACCCCAATATCCCTACGCCCCCCCCTTTGGGACCGTTTTTGGGAATTGGTCGAATCGCCCGAACGCCGATTGCCACCAAACCCACTCTACCCTACTACCACTCACCAACCAAGCATCTTGACACCTTTCGATTGCCCATCGACTCGATGGCCCGTGCCGATGGTGGGAAACGGTGGTTTTGCAAAAGCACCGTTTCCCACCGCCGGCTTTCTCCGTTGGCCTGGGGCGTGTCTACTTCATCTGGGTACTTATTGGGAACCTCTCCCCACCTCGTAAAGGTGGTTCCACCGCCCGAATACCCCCACGCCCCCCCTCTGGGACAGTTTCTAGGAATTGGCCATACCGGCCGGCCGATCCGACAGGTGCGGAGGGGTGCAATTGCCACCAAACCCACTTTGCCTTGCTGCCACTCTACCACCGAGCATCCTAACACCTTCTGATCACACAAGCTGATGGTGGAAAACGATGATTCTACAAGAGCACCGTTGGCCCGGGGCATCTCCTCCTCATCTGGGTACTTATAGGGGACCTCTCCCCACCCCGTGGATGTGGTTCCGCTACCCGAATACCCCTGTGCCCCCCCTCTGGGACCGTTTTGGGAATTGGTTGAATCGCCCGGAGGCCAATCCAGTGGGTGCAAAGGAGTGGGGTTACCAGCAAACCTGCTATGCCCTACTGCCATTCACCCATCGAGCATCCCGACACCTTCCGATCGCCCATCGGCCCGATGCCCCGGGCCAATGATGGGAAGCAATGGTTCTACAAAACCATCATTTCCCACCGTCGGCCTTCCCCCTTGGCTTGGGGCATGTCCACCTCATCTGGGTACTTATAGGGGACCTCTCACCACCCCGTGGAGGTGGTTCCGCCGCCCGAATACCCCCACACCCCCCTCTGGAACCATTTCTGGGAATTAGCCCAATCGCCTGGAAGCCGATCCGGTAGGTGCAGAGGAGTGCGATTTCTACCAAACTCACTTTGCCCTACTACCACTCACCCACCAAGCATCCTGACACCTTCCAATCGCCAATCGGCCCGATGGCCGGCCAACGATGGGAAACGGTGGTTCTACAAAAGCACTGTTTCCCAGTGTCATCCTTCCCTGTTGTCCTAGGGCATCTCTACCTCATCTGGGTACTTCTGGAAATTGGTAGAAACTCTCTCTGCCCTCCGGGACTACTTCTGGGAATTGGTAGAATCGCTCAAAGGCCAATCCGGCGTGTGTAGAGGGGTGCAATTGTCACCAAACCCTCTCTGCTCTACTGCCACTCACCCATCGAGCATCCTAACACCTTTCGGTTGCCTATCGCCCCGAAGGCCCGGGCCAACTTTGGAAAACGGTGGTTCTACAAAAGCATCGTTTCCCCACCGTCGACCTTCCCCGTTGGCTCGGGGCATCTCCACCTCATTTGGATACTTATAGGGGACTTCTCCCCACTCCATGGAGGTGGTTCTGCTGACCGAATATCCCCGCACCCCCTCTCCGAGATCAGTTTTGGGAATTAGCATAATCGCCTAGAGGTCGGTCACTCCTAATTGTTACTTAACATTGCTTTGTGACGCTACATTTTGAGCAAAAATTTGATCACAAGATTTTAAGGCAATATCTATAAAAAAAAATTGCTTTTTGCATTACTTTACGCCATTCATCTATAAATTTACATAGCTAGAGATGACCAATCATTAGTTTTGTACAAAAGTTTAAATTGTTAATATATGCTTAGAGTCACAAGATGATTTAAAGGAAAAATAAAATGGTTTTCCAATCATCCTCATAAGACCTTCAATTTATGGGATATGGTTCCAAATGAGTTGAGCCCCTATCTGCCGCCTAATAACATCGATGTTTTCCCTACAACAAACGTACTACATGTCAGTCTTAACATGAGACATATAGGCATGTGATAGCAAACGAAATTCACATGTACTCACTGGATCAAAGTCAAAATATAAACCCCGGGCGATGCAATCCATGTACTTCATAACAAATACCCCGCACTTGCTACTATTGCAAAAAAGATACACTTATTGACTCAATAACTACCTAAGAAGTACCCCTACACCTAAGCATAGATCATACCGTACCCAAAATGTTGGGGGGCTGACTCCATGAATTGAAATGACCAACTGATGATCCCAGGAACAAATGGTGACAATTTTTCTCTCAAAAGTGTTTGTTGCCAAATATTGTAAAATTGAGCAGACACATAAGCAATCAAACTCATTATCTTATACCCAATAAGTAATGTAAAAATCAACTCATGATACATACCATGGATCTTGCATACGCATCGTGGAGGTTGCTGTTTAAGGAACTATAGGCTTCGATTCTGCAGTCCACCATATTCACCACTAGTCGTTCCTAGTGTGAACCATCAAATAAAGGTATTAAAACCTTATTGCACGTCAATATTTCATAGAGCTTCAACCATTGATAGAGAACATCGTGGCAAGCATCCGATAACTACATTACAAACAAATAGCATTGGGATTATATCACAAAATGCATCACAAGCATATGGATTTCAGTCACATTGCAATCAACAACCCATACCAATGTCATCGAAGACACATAACATATCTTCATGGTGTTGGTGTTTCTTGCCATCAACAAAATCCCATATGCATCAATGAACTACACAACCACACACATCAAATCGCCAATTAGCCTTGTACGACATGCAACAATCCACTAAACCAAAATAATACATCACCGTACACCCATGCTTTCGGGTCAAAGAGGGGCAATAGACAATACGGGGTAAAAAATACAACACCATCGGTCCATACCAATTGAACACTGCCTTAACCATTAATCAACCTCATTACACAAGAAAAAAATAACAATAGAAACAAATTCTAGTTTAAAGCAAATCACTTAAATAAACACAATCTACTAAATAGTCATGTGCACTTGCCCTTTCTTGTGGTTATTCAAGAACCATTTCACAACTTCAAGGTCATCATTTGGGACCAAGTCCATCTTAAAAGAATTCCACAATGATAGTGCATCCATCGACTACAACAAATATTCCATAAATAAACTAATAAGAAAGTCAAATCAAACCAAAACAACCCTACAAATAACCTCAAGACAACACCAACATTTATTATTTCACTTTCGCCTTCACTTCTCTTTTGGACCCTGCAACAATAGCAAACTCCTTCGCTACTTGCCCTTGCTGCCCAGAAGCTAGGTAGGGCGACACCACTGTGCTACTTTGCTTTTGCTCTCTCCTTGTTTGTAAGTTTCACCAATGGAGGGCGAGCCATTAACAATCTCGCAGGATGGGGCTGCAACGCTAGTCATTTCAAGAGATTGCTCTACCCCCATGGTGCAGTATATGCAACTCCAACAGGCAACTCTACACCATAATCATCATTGTCTAGTGCATAGTTTGTCAAACCTTCCTGCCCCTCACTAAACGGTGTTGCATCAAGGTCCAACCCATTATTTCTTATCATTTTGCGAAGCCTATTGACTTCATCGCAATGTTCCACATTCTGCTTCATTATCAAGGAATACTCTTTGGCCTCCGTACATAGAATTTAATATTCCATGGATTCCATGCAAGATCTGCAAAATTCCTGAAAAATCAAGTTAGAAGTAATTTAGCAAATCTAAACATTAGCACTAAGTCAACTTGTATATAACTCAAAACATGTATGCTACGCTAATCATACCTTTTGCCCAGGGCGACGCCACTTGTGATCAAGATCCTTTCCAGTAGAAAAAGTTTCCTCACCCACACCATGGCCCCCTCAGTCCACAAATTGCATATCAACACCAAAGGTTAATAACTATCGTGTACTTAGCTCACATAAAGGACTCCACTGCAAGGAAAAAAAAAATATAACTTATACAGCCTTCTAATCGAACATCCACTAAGGCCATCTCCTCGCTAGTAGGGTTTAAACCCTCAATAACCTGTAATACGTTTATAAATCCATATGAGATCTTTAGTTTCCACTAGAACTAAATAAATAAAAACTACAAACACCATACGTAGAGGAGCAGAAGTGAGAATTGTTTTCACCCTAGCTTTCTTCAACAAATCGACCCTCTTTAACTTCCAATGATACCCCATATTCCCCCACTAAAACAAACGAGGACTGGCATCAAGAACTGAAGGACTGAACAATGTTGTGTGCTCATAAAGCCATGCCTACCAAAAATAAATCAACCAATAAACGATCATCAATTGAATGAGAATAACATAAAGAATAAATAAAAAAATTGAATGTCATCCACACTAACCATCAACATTGCACTGCATCCAAATAGATAGCCGCTATACGAGGATGAGCCTTTACTCGATCCAGCACCACAATCGGAAGTAAACTGATCAAGGCCACCGACCAAGAATTTATGTACATATTTACCCTAGGCATAATCACCGATACGTTGTAAATCGCCAACCTATCCAACCCAGAAGGAGCTCACCCTCGAAATACCTTGGAGAAACAACACAACCAAACAAGAACAAAATAATCAACTTTACCACCTCCTCAACGTACTCCTCACCATCTAATCATACAATCTTCTTTAGTCTATGCCACACAAGATCCATCTCTGTAGAGGCAGAGTGATTTTGGTCAAAGCTAAAAAATCTTTGTAACAATCCACTACCAACAACGCCTTTCGATAGGGAAACTATACTACCCGACAAGCCAAGACCCGCATTATAAGGGCAACATCAACCTCACTGAATTGCATAGTCCTTCCACCAACTATAAAACACTCGCTAGTCGAGTCTCACGATTTCACTAAATAACTCAATAGGCACGTCTCTACAATCACCTGTGGCAGATCCAAAAAGTGTCCAAAGGGAGTCTCTTGGAGCCTTCTCTTGTGCTCCAAACTTAGAGACAAACTTTGTACCATCTCCCTAAACCATTTCGAGGAGCACCTAGTACCAACTTTGTCACCTCTGTCGGGAATTTATCAGCTTATTGTTAGCACAAGTAACAAAATAAAATATAATACCATTTAAATTTCCTATATAAAGAACGAGAAAACTCAATTAGCACTAGGGGTGATCATTTTAGCCTAGCCCGAAAATTCTCGGCTTGGGCCTAGGTTTTGTGTTCAGGCCCGATCTGGGCCCAGGCCTACAAATTTTCAGGCCGGGCTTGGACAAACCCACAAATTTTTAGGTCGGGCTTGGGCTAAGGCCGGCCTGCATATATTTAAACTTAGACATTTTGTGTATAATGCATACATATATACATACTATTTTACATTATATTATATATTTTATATATAAATATAATAACATTACTAGTATATTACATAATGTATAAAATAAGTTTATATACATGTTATGTCATTTAATATATATATATATATATAATGTTTTATATATGAATGACATTGACCCGGAATCAGGCCCAGGATTAAGTTATAACCCTTATCATAAGTGCAAAGTCCGGTCCAGGCTTGGCCTTACCCGACCCATAATTACCGCGAATTAGCACTAAATAAAACCAAGAAATCAACCCCCAACAACAAACCAAAAAATCATCAAAACCAAAATAAATGAATTCTGCAAAGACAACTAGATGCTTACCGCACTCCAATCAATGGAAAACACTGTGTAGCTCTGAAGCTTTGGTTATTAACAGCTCTGAAAAATGGGGAAAACACTATAGCTCCAGCAACGAGAGATGAACCTCCGGTGATAAAATGACCCTAAGAAATTAGCTCTGGTGATCCAGTGATTAACGACTCTGAGAACGGAGATTAACGGCAATGAGAAAAAGAGAAGAGGGTGAATGCTGTAGGTTTGAAATGAGGATGAAAAGGATGGAAAGATGTTGTACCTTTTGGCCCTGAGAAACAGAGAAGAGGGTGATTGTTGTAGCCTATAGGTTCGAAATGAGGAAGCAGACCGATGAGCAAGAATACGATGGGAAGATGCACGGAGAGGAGAGTGATTTGTAGAGCCCCGATGAGCAAGAAGACGACAGGAAGAAGAAGGCGCTGAGAAACTGAAGAAGAAAACGCTAAGAAAGGGAGATCTGAGCTCCGGTGACTGTGAGTATACTGTAGCTTCGAAATCAGGAAGGAGAAGACGTGCGTTCGAAACGGTAAGAAGAAGACGTTGAAAAACGGAGATCTGAGCTCCGGTGACTGTGAGTATACTGTAGCTTCAAAATCAGGAAAAAGAAAACGTGTATTTGAAACGGGAAGAAGAAGACGCTGAGAAACGGAGATCTGAACTCTGGTGACTGTGAGTATACTGTAGCTTCAAAATCAGGAAGAAGAAGACGGTGCATTTGAAATGTTGGTTCGATTGAGCAAGACGATGATGAAAGTCGGTAAAATGCCGTTCTCTGGTGACCGAGTAAACTGTACCTTCGAAATGAGGAAGAAAAAGATGTTGTGTGCGTTCAAAGCGCTGGTTCGAATAGAAAAAAAGATCAAAGTTACCATTGGATTGAGGGGTATAATGGATAAGAAAATAAATTTTTGATGACAGGGGAGGAGCTGAAAGAAATTTCGCATTTATTGGATGGGGGTGGCGTTGATTCCGAATTCCATACGTTCCTAAACGAAGTTTCCATTTCTGGGGGAGCTGCATGAAGATTCCCCTTAAATTAACAAAGTGACTTTTTTTGAAAAGTTGAGAGGTTGTTAGAGACAAAAATCATTTTTTGGGTAAATATGACAGTTGTATGAGTCAAGAGTGGTTATGAATTGCCATGTGGCTATTTTATCTACGTAGGACCATCGGTGACTCAACTGCAGGTGACGTTGACAGTTTCCATGATTTCCACTTCATTTGCAAACTTTACGCCAAAAGCATTGCCAAAAGTTAGCAGAGAAAGCTCTCAAGACTCGACTCGAGGTCGAGGAGAGAGTTGGACGACTTTGGTTAGTGGCCACGAATCTCCGACAAATTGGCGGTTTGGCAGAGACGAACCATACGAAAAGAGCGAGCGAAATCGAAGGGACCGAATTTCCAGGCTTCTCAAGAATGTTGTCATCTCCACAAACCCAACGGCACGAAGCTAAGAGAGGAAACAGAAAAAATACCAACTGGAATCCATTTCACAGAAACTTTTGCTTCTTCAGTATCGTCTTTTCACGTCCTATTCCGGTCATTTCCTCTCGTTTCCTTGCTGGGTTTCTGGAATCTTGTTTGAAATGGCCTTTCCCGGTATGTGTCTCGCCGGAAATTGATTTAGTGTTGGTAAATTTTCAAAGGAAACACCAAATTTGGACCCGGAATCGGTATGAGTCGTCTAATGGGGTTGGTTTCCAAGTATTTTCGTGGGAATGCCGCATATGTTGATGGGAAATGGCATTTCAGATGATATCGTTTGATCGAATAAGTGGCGGTCAGTCTGATATATGGAAGAAAATTGTGAAACATCCATTTATCTGCAAGTTTATATTTGGAAGAAATTCGAATGGTCAGACATCTGAAGATTCTGAACCGGTCTCTTTAGCTCTGTAACAAAGAATTTTTTACATAGCCGAGGCTTTCACTTGAAGCAGCTTAAAATGGTACGTTGAGCTTTGGACATAGATTAGTTCTATATATCCTGACCTCAGCATATTGGGCTTTATAACTTTCTTAGCTATATTTGTTTACAATCTGAATCGAAACTTCCTGTATGCGTTGAGTTTATTTGTACAAGTATATTCCTTCTATATACGGTGACGACTCTCTGGCTTTCATTTTTCATTGGTTAGTGTCCATTGCACATGGTAGGTGAGTAAGGGCTTATGAATTCCTCTCCTGAGAAAAGAAGGGGAAGACATACTTTTTGCTGTTAGTTAAATAATCGAGGTTGCTGGCAAATTGCCATGACGAAACAAAATTGTAGAACCATAGAAAATATTTGTCAGTTGTTAACTACACGGTATGAAACTCAGGATATTAGGATTTAATATATGTCAGAAACATATTAATAGGATCAATTGAATACTGGGAGGAATATTTATTTGTTGGTAACAACATGATTGCCACCTAGTTATTGATCAGTCCACCAATAACAGATTAAGTATTCTTTGTTATATGGTCAGAAAATCTGATTACACGAGAACTATAAAAGAAGAAGAGAGAAGAAAAGAAGAGAAGAATTGATAGACAAATCGTGAGGCTTTATGTGATGATGGCAATTACATATTTGTCCTTAGTAAGTCAGCAGCAATGAAAAAATATAAAGAAAGCTCACGACCCATTAATTATTGGCTCACTACTAATAAACAATAAAGAATAAAGGAGCAAAAACAAAGATAATTCACTCTTTTCTACACTCTCCCTCAAGTTGAGCATATATGTCAATCATGCCCAGCTTGTCAAGGGTAAACTGAATGCTGCCTTAGGAATTCATTTAGTGAATATCTGCTCATTGTTGATCCATCTTGAAAAATGGTACTCATACATCACCACCACCCACCTTCTCACTAATGAGGTGATGATCGACCTCGTCCTGTCATCATGTATTGGATTATGTACAATGATAATAGTTGTGTGCTTATCATAAAGCAATGGTAGCATTTGAATAACCATACCCAATTCATGTATTAAGAATATCAATGATAATTCCTCTAATAAATCATGAGCCATGGCACAATTCTTCTTCAACACTTTGCTTCTCTCTTCAGGATACCATGTTCCTCCCAACAAAGACACAATATCTTGAAGTACACTTCCTATAATCAGTCAATCCATCCTAGTTAGCATCAGTATAAATCTCAATCTTCAAGTGATTGTGTAAAGTGTTAAAGTCCTATTTTTTGGACTTCTCTTCAAATATACAAGAATCCTCTTATCTGCAACCATGTGTGTAGTATGAGGTGTGAGCATATATTGCTCACCACACTAATAGCATAAGATATATTTGGTAATCTTATGCATGGACAAAGAAGTCTCCCAACTGGCCTCTAGTACATAGCACAATCATCTCCTCCTTAGTAGCTCTTGTCTTATGTCAAGGATCAATAGTAGTATTTGCAGGATTCTTTCCTAATTTCCATGTATCTCTGAGTAAATCCAATAATACTTCCTATTAGAGACATATATGCTGTTCTTAGATTTAGCAACCTTAATGCCAAGAAAACATCTAAGCTCACCGAGATCTTTAATCTCAAATTTGGAGGCTAAGAACTACTTAAGATGATTAATTCCATCAACATCATTCCCTATTACTATAATCATCTACATAAACAATGTCTAATAATATGATTACTATTCTTCTTAATGTATAAAGTATGCTCAAGTTGAGACTTTTAAAATCTGCTCTTCTACAAAGCTCTCCTAAATCTATTAAACCAATCTTGAGGAAATTGCTTCATGCCTTATAATGCCTTCTTATGTTTCTAAACTATACCATCTTTCTAATTGGCATAAAACCTTGGAGGCCATAGACCTCCTCATTGAGATTTCCATTCAAGAATATTCTTAACATCAAACTCAAGAGCCAATCAAAATTAGCTGTTAGAGACAAATGTAAACTGATAACATTGTAGAAATTGGTGAGAAGGTCTCATCATAATCTATCCCATGGGTTTGAGTGTATTTCTTTGGTACTAATTTGGCCTTGTATCTCTGAATGCTCCCTTCTGATTTATACTTCACCATAAAGATCCACTGGCAGCCAATAAAGGTCTTCCCTCTCAGTAATTCAACCAACTCCCACATCTTGTTCTTTTGCAAGGCATCTATCTAGGGCTACATAGCATCCCTCTGTTTAGGTTGAGCCATTGCCTTTGTCATACATCTGGGAATAGAAATAGAAGCAAGAACGGATATACAGGAGACAGTAGGCTATGTGAAAGATGGGATAGGATACCATTAGAAGTAGAATTAGACGCATTCCTTTTTCACTTCTTGCTTTGTCTTTTGGTGGATAATAAAATTATCTTATTATAAGGGTATCACACCAAACTTCAGATTTAGCTATTAATGAGCCCACAACCTCCTTAAAATCTTATTTTCTAAAAGACAAAGCAATAGCCACTTCAGGTTTTACCAAATTGCCCCTAATAATTCTCAGTTACATGCTCAGAACATCTGATTATAAGAGAGAATACCAGTAGATGAGGAAGAGAGAAGAAGAAGAAAACAAGAAGAAACGAAGAGAAAAATTGATGGCTAGATCTTGGGGCTCAATGTGAGACCCCGTTATGTTTTATACTTGAGAATGATTGCAATTACATATCTGCCCTTAGTAAGTTGGCAAAATAAATAAAGGAATATAAAGAAAGTCCACAGCCCTTTAACTATAGGCCCGCTACTAATAAACAAGAAGCAGAAACATATAGATTTTTTTTGAAAAATAAGCAGCAACATATATATTAGTAAATTCACTCTTCTCTATACACCTTGATTAGTAAATTCTTACACTCCAGACTGAACTGATATTCAACTTATTTTTTATATTTATTTTTTTCCTTTTACCAGAAAAGCAAGACCAAAGAATGTGTTGGAATGTCTACTTTATTTTTTATGTCTGTGTTCTGCTGAGTTAGGGTCTGTTTGTTCTGGCTAAAGTAGTTTTTTTTATATCTTTGTTTATGTACTCTAACTTAAGTAGGGGCATAACGGTCTTTTCCCTTTTAATTATGGTCACCCTATATATATTAATATAAGCTGGCGCCGCCAGATCGGTTAGTTGACTCCAAAACTTTCTCTTCTCTTCTTCCTTCTCTCCTCTCTCTCCCTTTTCTTCTTCTTCTTCTTCTTCTTCTTCTTCCTTATTTCTCCTCTATTCTGCTGTTAAGAGGATGAAATTAATAAATGTCCAGTTAGAGGCAACTCTCATTATTTCAAATTGCTAACTACATATAAACATTCTAATAAATATCGGATGATGCTTGGAAAAACTTTAGGCTTTAGTTTGGAAAGAGTGCAAATACAAGCATGTGTGGTGCAAATACAAGGTTTTACACTGTACATACTGCATATTTGTATTTGTACTCTTCCCAAACTGAGCCTTAAGAAGAAATCAATCTTGCATAACTTGAGTTCAAATTCACATAGTGGAGAGACTTGACTACATGATTGATGTACCAAAAATGAGATGCATATACTAATATACTATATTATGTGCTGCAGGAAGATAGTAGTAACAAAACAGAAAAAAAGGAAGGAAAAAGGTTATATTTTTCTTCAAGCTCAGGCATAATTGTCAAATTTACTAGGAAGCAAATCTATTAACCAGATAAAGGAACTTTAGACATAGGGCTTAGAATATAATTTTTATACTTTTGTTATTTATTTATTTTTAACTTTGACAACTTTAAAACCATGTTGCTACCTTGATTTCAAGTTTTGCTTTGACAAAATGAGGTGTCCAAAGTCCTTGAAAGAAATGAAAACGCTTTGTCAAGCTACTCTTCATTTCTTTGATTGCCAAACTTTTCGTTTTGCTAAGAGTCATGATTAAACCCTTATTATGGGAAAAATTTTATCTTAATGCAACTGCACAACATTTTTGGAGGGTTTGCTTTTGGAAAATATTCAAAGTTAAAGTAGAAGTTGAAATAGAAAAGTTGTAGAAAACACCTGTAATAATTCAGAAAATAAAATAGAAATAGAAAGAAAAGGAAGGAAAGAAGAGTTTCAGTAGAAGCTTTAGGAAGAAGATGAGAGAATGGAAGAGAAGAGAAGAGGAAGAGTGTAGTTTGATCTCTCCCCTTTACCTCTTTGATGTGATTTATATATGCTGAAATAAAAATATGTTTAAAGCTACAAGAGTGCCCATAGTTGGGCGGCTGACTTAAAGCATAAACAAGAAAATAAAAACAGGCCCATAAAGAAGGCCTACTACAGCAAAACAAACAGCAGAAATATTTAAACCAAAGAAAACTAAGGCCCATTTGGTCCAATCTCTCTACACTCCCACTCAAGTTGAGCATAGATGTCAATCATGCCTAGCTTGCTTACATAATGTTGTAGCTTCGCTTTGGGAACTCCCTTAGTTAAAAAATTAGCTAGTTGCTCTTTTGAAGCAATGAAAGGAAGACACACCTCCCCCGAGGCCATGTTCTCTTGTATAAAGTGTCTATCTATCTCAATGTGTTTAGTTTCATCATGCTAAACCCAAGGTTTAAAATTTCAATACGCTTTTGTGTATCGGCAAAGGCATATCGGAACTTAGAAACACACAAAAACTCCTTTTTTTTTTCAAAATTTAGTTTTTGGGGAGTTAAAATCATGCATTTTTCATTGAAAAAGAGTGGGGTCCCGAAACACCTGGAAACAGGCATATCGGGATTCAAAAGATACAATATGATATGCCTGATATGGGGTATCATATCGAAATTTTGAACCTTGGCTAAACCTGGTTATGGGCAATGTTGTTAGCAGCCTAATTATCAAAATATAACATTAGAGGCTTATCAAAGGAGATACCCATCTGATCAAGGAGAGATCTAATCCATAACAACTTTGAAACTTCATGGGCTATAGCCCTATACTTTGTTTTAACTGAAGATCTAGCTACCACTGACTGCTTTTTACTTCTCCAAGAAACAATATTTCTAGCTACCATAGC